GTAAAGTTGGCTAACCATAACATAATGTTTTTCAAAGTCTACGTGTAGCATATTCTCACCTCTAACGGGATGGATTTTCAACAGGTTAGCTTTGACGTCATCACCACATAATAGTAACAATAATAAGATACATTATTTATTTTTGAATGTCGGTACAATGGGATAAGAATTTTTTAGGGCAAAGTGAATGGTTAGACTTGTAGTGATCAAGGCAACAATGGTGGACTTTGTCAACCATCTCTCCGTTTCTTGTAATTTACTCTTTCTTGTCTTTTTTGAACAAAATTTTTGAAAGTATTGGTCACTACAAAACTAGCAATCTTGACATTCCCATATTTGAATAACAATGTCACAAATTTAAAAAATATTGGATTAGTTACTCTAAAATGTACTCAACTATTTATAAATATCATATTTTTATATATTTATGAATTTGTACATATTAATTTACTCAATTATGAAAATCGTACAAGTATATCTCTTTTGAAGGTAGTATGAAGGAAGTGAAAGTGGTATATTTTCATAAATAAAAAGATAAAGTAATATTTGTTAATAGTTAAAGGGGTCTTGGTGTAATTTGTTGGAATAATCTTCTGTGTAAAAAAATAAAACTGAAACAAATAAAATAATTTACTTACAAAAAATTCTTGTTTCGAAAAATAAAAATAGAAAGACTATGATTAAGTCGAGTGTGTGACACTTTATCCTTAAGATAGATTCGCCCCTACACAGGTGCTCATGGATTAATGGCGTCTATCTATGCAATGATCAAAAACCACAGATTGTAGTAGCACTACAAACAATCTGTCAGGCAAAACAAACCTGAGTTCTACAACTCTCTGAAAACTCTATGAACTAATATGAAGAAAATGTAGCACAAAAGGAAAACGGGAAAGGAAAAATGAAATGAATGAATCTGTTGGAGGATCCTGAATTTATAGGCCAAGAGGTGTCTGTTCAGAAGGGTAGTAAACCCTTCAAACAGATGTGAAACCTGGAACTGCTAGAAATTGAAAAGAGGCGACCGGAGAGGCACTGTTCTGGGAAGCAAAAATTCAAATTTTTGGTGCAAACATTTGAATTAATCTGTTAGGATTTCAAATTTTTTCCTACAATAATTTGAAAAAAAATTAAATGGATTTTGTCCAAAAAATTAAGCTAAGACTTGGCCCACAACCGACCCGACTCGATCAACCTGACGACGGCAACGCGCGCATGTATGGTGGATTTGGGTCAAACTGCTTTGTCCATAACTTCCCTCCTTACAAGACTTAGGGTGCCCCTTGTAGCCCATCCCAAGTATGTCAACCTAAAGCTTATATACTCATATAAGCTCTCTTAATGTTTCTATGTGGGATAGCTAAAACAAGGTAACCCACATTTGATTCTTCAACTTCCCATTTCACGAAATTGAAAATGACATAAATTTCTCATTCAATCATAAATGGTTTTGACGATTCGTCTTCACCGTGTGACTTACCATGTAGCAAAGAATATGTCACCACTTCGATGCACCTTAAAAGACGTGTGGATCTCACTTAAATTTGAGCTCAAAGATGGCCCAAAATAAGCATATAAAATCAAAAAAATTTAACAATACTCCACATTAATGGAATTGACAAAGAGAAAATGCAACAACATGATGTTTCTAAAGAGAGTTCATAAATCAGAGATATTCAACAAAGGATAGGTCACTTTTGACTCTAAACTTTTCCTTGTGAGACACTATCAGATTTACTAGCTAATTAGTGAACATGATGTCTTGAACTGTTTAGCCATTTGTGTAAATTAAGACAATATAACGCACACAGTATATTTCCAAACACAATTTGATTCTCACAATTGTGTTCATTTTGGCCTGAACAACCTGGTACTTCATGAGTGCTCTAGAGAATTATAAACCTTACAAAACTCATAAAACTGGCCCAGTTCACACTCATATAGGTGATTCTTATGAAAAGTATCCTACCATACTCCACTAGGTATTCCTAGATATAAGAATCATTAAAAGCATTGCTTATCCTAACACATTGCAGACATCACTATTTCATCATAGAAATTAGTAGGAGTTCAACTCCCCAGTGATTCTTATAAGTCATACACAACTCAGTTGTCCCTTTGAACCTAGATCTTGGGATCTCCAGTCAACTAAGTTGGGTTGCTATTTAAATAGGCTTAAGTCTTATTCCCCTCGATGAATTCTCAACTAACTCTCATGCTGACCTTTTGGTTAGTAGATCCGTTATATTGTCTTTAGACTTCACATATTCAATGGAAATAATTTCATTAGAGAGTAGTTGTCTCACAGTGTTATATCAACGACGGATGTGTCGTGACTTACCGTTATACATATAACTATGTGCTCTAGCTATTGTCAATTGACTATCACGATGTATACATACAGCAGGCACAAGTTTCGGCCACATTGGAATATCTTTAAGGAAGTGACAAAACCATTCTGCTTCTTTCCCAGCTTTATCTAATGCTACAAACTCTGATTTCATAGTAGACCTAGCAATGCAAGTCTGTTTGGAAGATTTCCAAGATACAGCCGCACCACCAAGAGTAAGGACATACCCACAGGTGGATTTTGAGTTTCTAGTATCCGATATCCAGTTTGCATCACAGTATCCTTCAAGTACCGCTAGATATATAGTATAGTTTAGCCCAATGTTACGAGTAAATCTGAGATATCTTAGAACCTTTATAATAGCTTTCCAGTGCTCTGCTGTTGGATTACTCGCATATCTACTTAATTTGCTTACTACATAAGCTATATTCGGGCGAGTGTAGTTCATCAAGTACATTAGGCTTCCAATAATTTGGGCATACTCTAACTGAGAAATACTTTTTTGTACATTCTTAGAAAGAAATAAATTAACATCAATAGGTGTTCTAGCAAGATGATTATCATCTTTGTTAAATTTGTCAAGTATTTTCTCAATATAATGTGACTGTGACAAAGCATATCCTTATGATGTTTTGGTAATTTTCATACCAAGAATTATATCAGCAATCTCCATGTCCTTCATGTCAAATTGTTTATTCAACATTTTCGTGATAGTTTTAATCATGCCATTATTACTACATATGATGAACATATCATCAACATAAAGACATACTATAACATAACTTTTGTTTGTATTTTTAATATAAACACATTTGTCACATTTATTAATTTTAAATCCATTTGACATTATTGTTTTGTCTAATTTCTCATGTCATTGCTTTGGTACTTGTTTTAAACCATATAATGATTTAACCAATTTACACACTTTCTTTTTTTTCCTGGAACAGAAAATTCTTCTGGTTGTTCCATGTAGATTTCTTCAGTTAACTCACCATTTAAGAAAGTTATTTTCACATCTATTTGATGAATTTCTAATTTGTATAAAGATGCAACAGTAATTAGTATTCTAGTGGATGTTATTCTAATAACTGGTGAATATATGTCAAAGTAATCAAGACCTTCTTTTTGTCTATATCCTTTGACCACAAGTCTTGCCATATATTTGTCAATTAATCCATCTACTTTCATTTTCCTCTTGAAAATCCACTTGTATCCAAGTAGTTTACAACCTGGTAGCAAATCCACCAATTTCAATATGTGATTTTGCAAGATGGATTCAACTTTGCTATTTATAACCTCTTTTCATAAATGAGCCTCAAGACTGCATATAGTTTCTTTAAAAGTTAAAGGCTCATTTTCTAACAAAAATGCTAGAAAATTTGGACTAAAAGATTTTGAAATTCTAGCACGTTTACTACGCCTCAGTTCCTCTTCTTCATTTTGATCTATCTCTTGCTCTTGTACTTGATCTTTTTTTTATTTTTTTTATCATGACTAGTAATAGCATTATAAAATCTTTTATTAGTATCAGTCTCTTGTCCAGTTTTATTAGGAAACACATGTTCAAAGAATGATGCATTCTTAGATTCAATAATAGTATTTACATACATTTCTGAGTGTTCTGACTTGTGAATCAAAAATTGATATGCACTACTATTCTTCACATAACCGATGAACATGCAATCAATAATTTTCGGACCTATCTTAATCTTTTTAGGACTACAAATAGCCACTTTAGCCAAACGCCCCTACACTTGTAAGTATTTGTAGGAGGGTACACTCCCATGCCACATTTCATAAGATGTATAATTCACTTTCTTTAAGGGTATTTTATTAAGAATATAATTAGCAGAAAGTATTTCTTCTCCCCACAAGTTTTGAGGTAATCCAGAACTTATTAACATGATATTTATCATTTCTTTTAAAGTCTTATTTTTTCTTTCAGTAATTTTATTTTGCTAAGGTGAGTAAAGAGCAGTAGTTTGATGAATTATTTCATATTCTTTGATGTATAATTCACTTTCTTTAAGGGTATTTTATTAAGAATATAATTAGCAGAAAGTATTTCTTCTCCCCACAAGTTTTGAGGTAATCCAGAACTTATTAACATGATATTTATCATTTCTTTTAAAGTCTTATTTTTTCTTTCAGTAATTTCATTTTGCTAAGGTGAGTAAAGAGTAGTAGTTTGATGAATTATTTCATATTCTTTACAAAAATCACCAAAAGGTGATTCATATTCACCACCTCTATCACTTCTTAGAATTTTAATTTTCTTGCCAAATTGATTTTCAATTTCATTCTTATATTGAATGAAAATTTCCAAAGCTTCCTCATTGGTTCAAATTAAATAAACGTAACTATAATAGCATAGTCATCTATGAAAGTGGTAAAATATTTTTTCTCACCTCTAGTTTGAATTGATTTAAAATCACAAATGTCACATTGAATTAATTCAAATGGTTCAATACTTATTTCAATTGAATGAATATGAGTTTTAGTTAATTTTGTCTCGGTACAAATTTCACATTTATGATTTGGATCAATTTCAAATTTAGGTAAACATTCCATATTAATTAATCTACATAAAGATCCATAATTAACATGTCCTAGTCTATCATGCCATAAATTTAAAGACTCAAGGAAGTAAGAAGAAGATGTATTTTTATTAATCATTTTTTATACAATATTCATTTTGAAAAGACCATCATTCATGTAACATTTTCTTACATACATCCCGTTTTTGGTAATTACAAATTTGTCACTCTAAAAAACTAGCCTAAACCCATTCTTGTTCAACAAAGATCCGGAAACAAGATTCTTGCAAATGTCCGGCATATGCAACGCATTGTTGAGGGTGAATTCCTTTCCAGGTGTGATCTTCAAAATAACCTTTCCTTGTCCTTCGACTTTAGATGTCGAGGAGTTGCCCATGAATAGTTGTTCTCCATTGTCCTCCATAGAATAGGAGGACAACATCTTTTTATTGGCATAGTGTAACATGCCTGGGGGGTACCCGCACGCGTTCAACAGTTCAGACCCTCAATCTCTTTGATCTAGTCTCACGAGTGCAATGTGAAATATAGATAAGAGTCCAGATTTGACAACTTCTATAGAAAATCCATTTTATTACAAAATTATTGCCAAAAATGGACTGCGTCATCAGATCTCAAAATCGCCACCTAATATTTTGGGAAATTAGGAAACCCATGACTCGTGCCAAGGCCATTGTTCGTCATTACCAAAGTTGTCTTGGTTCAGAACCTTAGGTATGAGAGGGGAAGGTCATTAATTGAGCACCCTCGCTTACTCGATCAAAAAATTGGCCTTTACTAACCATGATATGAATTTTCTTTATATGTTCATGTTCTGATTATTTAATAAATCCTAAAATTTACTATGTGAAACATACAAGTATAGACCATCTCACCCACTTTGGAACAACTTGATTTCATGTAGTTTTGAAAGAGTTTTGAAGATGTACAACCCAAACAAATTGAGTTTATAAAAATGAAAATCAACATCATTTCAAATTAAGCGACACAACCTCCATGCACTGGCATTCATAGAGTTATATCACATAAGCGAATAGTCTCATGGTAGAATGCTAAACATAGTAAGAAAAATCCACACAAACGGGATGCTAAAGCATAAAAACTTACATATTTACTGACGTCCCTCGAACAGCTACTAAACAAGGTTAGTAAAAACAGGCATGATCTTATATACAAAATCCTAATGCAATTCACTCCTAAGATGCAACTAAAGATTCGGCTTCTAAGATATGACATGTGAATCATCTCAAGAACATGAGGTAGCGCACCTAATCACATAGGAATTGATTAAATCCACAAATGCGAACTTAGCCAATCAAGATGCATGAAACATAGATGCAAAGTATGGATATAACAACAAAAAAAAATAGAATAAAATAAACGTGATGCATATTTACAAATAAGAAAAGCAAGTAAAAGAACGAGATAGAAAGAAGTGGAGCGAGAAATTATTACAACATTTTGAATAAATTATTACAAACCAAATTAGAGTGGGGGAGGAGAATATTACAATAAAATAAAAACCTCACAATACAATCAAAATAAAATAAACAAAAGAAAAAAAAAGTTTCATGTGCCTTGGAAACCACCGGAAGTTGGTTAACATTGGAAGACAACGCCCTATTGTCCAAAAGAAACTAGCCGACTGGCCAACTAGGCCTAGGAAAACCTGTCTTATTGCGAAACCAAGAAAAGGAACAAACAAGAAATATGTAGGTGGCTCAACTAACCACTACCGGTTAGATTAAAAACAAGAAAACAAATATAAAATAAAAACAAATGCAAACTTATAACAAAACTAATATGAACCTAAAACAAGAGAGCAAATATAAAATAAAATAAAATAAGTGAAAAAGTACAACAAAACTAACATGAACCTAAAACAAAAAAAAAGCAAATATGAGGTAGAACATGCAAGACTACAACAAAACTAATATGAGACTAATATAAGAAAAATATAAGTTAGAAAATGCAAGATTACAACATAATTACTATGAAACTAAAAATAAAAAATAAAAAAGAAGAAGCAAATATGAGGTAGAACATTCAAGATTACAACAAAACTAATATGAAATTAAAGCAAGTGAATAAAAATAAATAAATAATTATGAGCTAAACAAACCACTTAGATTACAACAACATACTATGAAATATAAAGTAAGAAAATAAATATGAAATAGACAAACCACTTGGATTATAACAAAACACTATGAAATAAGAAGCAAGAAAATAAATATGAGATAGAAAATATAAGAAAATGAAAAACTAGAAATTCACCTTCCAAAGAAATATTGAACTTCTTGATTTCCAAACTTCCTCTTGATTACCCTCAAGTTGTGGAGTATGTTGTTGAAATCTCAGCAAGAAAGTTCAAGTTTTAGCTTTGGTGAAGTTTTGGGTGGTAACAAAATAAACTCTTTTTTTTTTATCCAAGTTTAGATCTCTTTCTAAAACTATTTTCACTCAATTGGAACAAAATAAACTCTTTTTTTTATCAAAATTTAAACCTCTCTCTCATCAAAAATTTTCACCACCTCTCATAGTTCTAATGTTCTTCTATATATAGGCCCAAAACCAAGACCCTTTCATGTTCTAAAGGGCCAATTTTGAAAGACCAATTTTGAAGAGCCAAAACCTATTCATGTTTTGAACAGCCAATTGTGAATAGTCAAAACCCATCCATTTGTTTGAAAGGCCAATTGTGAATAGTTAAAGCCCATTCATTTGTTTGAAAGGCTAATTGTGAATAGTCAAAATCCATTTAGTTTTTTGAAAGGCCAATTATGAATAGTCAAAACCCATTTTATTTGTTTGAAAGGCTAATTGTGAATAGTTAAAATCCATTTAGTTTTTTTGAAAGGCCAATTGTGAATAGTCAAAATCCATTTAGTTTTTTGAAAGGCCTATTGTTTCAAACTGCTAAATTTTCTAGACAAGAGAAACAAATGCAGAAAATGTTTTTTGAATAGGTCTCAACTAATTAGGCAAAAACGGGGACAAAATTGGGATTAAAGCTTAAATCTGATTTTTTTGCTGAGAAATTCATAACATAGCACATTATAATTTTCATCATTGGGTGTTCAGAAGAAAGCGCCCGCGCCCAAGTCTTAGGGTTGGTCAAAATGGGGTGTTTACAGTTGCCCCTATTTGACAAAGCTCAAAGTCATTTCATGACGTGAGTGAATGTCAAAGCCCGAAGACGACCCTTTTGACAAGGCCGTCAAACTTGGGCAAACAAACAAGATGCAATGCAAGTGGTTGAACCAGAAGGTTGCCTACGTATCCCTTTGCAAGGAATCAAACCTGCGTAGTTCAGGGGTAACATGTAAAATGACATGCTCAAAATGCAGTTTGAAAGTTGGACTTACACGCTTCACGAAGCCAGTTGTTTGAAAATTCATGATTATGCAATGCAATACAATGCAATGTTTTGGAGTGATGATAAAGATATGAAGATGACAACATGAGAGGAATGATATGAAACATAATAAGGGGTGCATCGCATTAAATATGTCATAAGATCACATACAAATGTGCCACAACACAAATGATAGGTGAACTCGAAATCCAAATGTGTCTTACACGAGAAGAGAAAATAATGAACTTGAATTCCAAACTCGTTTCACGCGGAAAGAGGTATAGTGGTGTAACCAACAGATGTTCCTAACCGTATTTCATACGCAGAGGAGGAAGGAAAACATCAAATCCTAGCACGTTTCATGTGAAAGGAACAAAGGTGGTGAAACCAATAGCGTACCTAATCGTATCTCATACGGAGAGGGGGAAGGTTTTAATTAGATAAACATCAAATCCTAATACGTTTCGCGTGAAAGAAATAAAGGTGGTATAACCAACAGACGTACCTAACCGTATCTCATACGGAAAGGGGAAAGGTTTTAACTAGGTAAACATCAAATCTTAACACGTTTCACGTGAAAGATGCAAATGTGGTGTAACCAACAGACGTACCTAACCGTATCCCATATAGAAAGGGGGAAGGTTTTAACCAGGTAAACATCAAATCCTAACATGTTTCACGTGAAAGATGCAAATGTGGTGTAACCAACAGACGTACCTAACCGTATCTCATATGGAAAGGGGAAAGGTTTTAACCAGGTCAACATCAAATTCTAACACGTTTCACATGAAAGGAACAAAGGTGGTGTAATCAAAAGACGTACCTAACCGTATCTCATACAGAAAGGGGGAAGGTTTTAACCTGGTAAACATCAAATCCTGACACGTTTCACGTGAAAAAAACAAAGGTGGGATGTTAATGAGATTGGCGTGGATTTGACATTTGTGGCATCGCTTAACAAAGTTGATACAATCATTGTCCATGGTTAACCAGTAGTATCCTTGTCTAAGGATTTTTCTGGCTAACATTATACCGTTCATATAGGCTCTGCACTCTCCTCCATGGATGGCATCCATGATACGCTTTGCCTCTTTTTCCTCTATACACAGCTTGTGCATTCCCAGATGCCCTCTCTTATATAACTTATCTCCACAAATGACGAACTGAGTGGCCAGACGTCATATCCCCCGTTTGTCTTTGGTGTTTGCCCCTTGTGGGTATGTACCACTTTCTAGAAAATACCAAGGGTTTTCATCTTGAACTTCTTCTGTTGCGGCTATCATTTCATACACAGGGGTGTACCTTGTTCTATAAAGATCGGGCACATCTTGACCCCGACCAGTATATCTATCATTGATGCCAGGGTTACCAATGCATCAGCAAATCGGTTGTTCTCTCTTACCAGGTGTGTAAAAGTTAGTTTTTCGAACCTCGGGATCAACATGTCCAAGGTTTGATGGTAGACTTTCATTTTTTTCTCTTTAACCTTCCAATCTCTGTTGGCTTGAGAGACGACCAAGTTCGAGTCCCCGATCACATCCAATCTTATTGCCCCAAGTTTCAAGGTTGCTTCCAATCCGGCAATGCACGCCTCATGCTCTGCTTGGTTGTTAGACATCCTGAATCGGAGTTTGAAAGCTAAGGGGATATGGGAATCATCCGGCACTATGAGCAACACGCCTATCCCATAGCCAAATTGATTGGACGCTCCATCAAAGTACAACTTCCAAGTGTCTTCTTTAATCTGCATGAGCTTTTCATTTAGAAATGAGTAATCCATATCTTCTCTTCCTTCAATTGGGTGATCAGCCAAAAATTCTGCTACAACCCTTCCTTTGACAGATTTGCGAGTGGCATACTTAAGGTCAAATTCGAAAAACAAAAGCCAACGAGCTAGCCTACCGGTAAGTGTTAGTTTCTCAAAAGATATTTGATTGGGTCTAATCTTAAAACCAGAATTACCGAGTGAGCTAACAGGTAGTGTCTCAACTTCCTGGTGGCCCATACCAAAGCTAAGCAAGCTTTTTCCAAAGGAGTATAGCGGGTCTCATATTCAAGCATCTTTTTACTTAAATAGTAGATGGCCTTCTCCACTCTCTCATTTGACTCTTACGCAAGCATATATCCCATGGTTGATTCAGTCACTAATAAATATAGAATCAGTGATTTCCTTAGCTCAAGTGGCGATAACACATGGGGATTCTACAAATACTGCTTAACTTGCTCGAAGGTGAACTGACACCGATTATCCCATTGGAACTTCTTTCCTTTCTTTAAAAGACCAAATAGTGGTTCATAAGTCAAGGTTAATTTGGAAATAAACCTCCTTATGAATTGCACTTTTCCAAGAAAGCCATGTACCTCCTTTTCAATGGTTGGCGGCGACATTTCTAAGATGGCTTGAATTTTAGATGGGCTAACTTCGATTCCCCGCTATGTGATTAGAAATCCTAACATCTTGCCCCCAGTTACCCCAAATATGCATTTCTGTGGATTCAGCATCAGCTTGTATTCATTGATTCTCTCAAAGAATTTCTTCAATGCGGTATAATGGCCTTCCAGATCTCTAGACTTGAAAATCATGTTGTCTACACACCTTAAATTCTTTGTGGATTATGTTATGCAAAAGTGTGGTAGCAGCTCTCTAATAAGTGGCCCTGACATTTTTCAAATCGAATGGCATAACCCTAGAATAGTATGTCTCCCATGGTGCAGTAAATACAGTTTTTTCTCTATCCTCTGGAGCCATAAGGATCTGGTTATACCCTGAAAAAATATCCATGAATGACAGTAAAGCATGCCCTGCAGTGAAGTCTACCAATTTATTGATATGTGACAATGGAAAGTCATTCTTCAGACTAGCCTCGTTCAAATCTTGGAAGTCAACGCAAACCTTGATTCTAGCATCTTTCTTTGGGATTAGCACAATGTTGGCTAACCAAGGCGGATACTCTAATACAAGCAAGAACCCAGCATTGATCTGTTTAGTAACCTCTTCTTTGATTTTCAATGCCCCAATCCGGATGAATTCTACAAAGCTTCTGTTTGACAGGTCGAGCCTCAAGATTAAGAGCGATCTTATGTTGTACAATCTCAAGATTAATTCCAAGTATATCTTCGCAGGACCATGCAAAAGCATTTTTAAATTTCTTTAATAAAGCAACTAATTGCTCACATTCCTCCGAAGATAAAGTGTAACCAATCTGGAGTAAGCGAAGATCTTTCTCAGTACCCACATGTACAAAAACAATTTTGTCGATTAATGGCTTAGCACGCCTTTTTTCCTCCCAGTTGATTAAATTTTTCAAAGCCTCGATGAATGTCTTCCTCTTCGTTTTCATCAAAATTCTAAAAATTCTAGTCAAGGCTATAAACTATAGGCACAAAGAAGTAAGAAGAAATCACAACATCTTTATTTAGAACCTCAGGCTCAACAGTTGCAACAGACTCAAAAGAAAAAGAAAAAGAGAACTCTGATATCTCAAACAAACTTGAATCTGACTCCAACCCCACAAGCCCATTGGATTCAGACCCACTAACCAATTTACTCCCAATAAAACTTTTTTCAACATGGCAATCTGCTTGCAAGCCATTCACTGCATCCACAATGAAGCTTGAGCAATCAACAGGTGGTCCTTCCCTAATCACAGAAATAGTCATATCCCCTAAGTTCACTAGTTCAGCACTAGTATTAGACTCTTTTAGCAAATCAACCAGTGTTAGTGTGATAATTCTGTTCCGTACCATGCTAATTAATCTTAATTAAGGTTGTGATTATGTGTTTAATATGATTTTGAGTGCCATTTATATGATTATATGTGGTTTTAAATTTCTATATTTTCACTGTAGGAAAATCTGTTCAACTTACTGTTATAAACTGAAAATTGAAGGCCATGTTGGCCATAGAAACTGAAATTGACTATGCCATTGTGATTGGCGTAATTTTTAGAGCCTATGGTGAAATTTAATTGAAAATTTATTCGGATAAAAAAAAAATAGATTCAGAATGACTAATTAAGCTCAACTACTTAGCCTTAATCAATTTGATTAGGCCAACACATATATATATAAGTGGCCCATTTACATTTTGAGCTCATTTTTCACTCATTTGGCTGAGATTACACTCTAGAGAGAGAGTCTGTGCCGGTTAGAGAGAGAGAGGGAGCTCAAGTTGAAGA